AAAACGGAATGCCACAAAATTTACATATAGCCATAACTAAATATAAATTTTTATCAAAAAAAAAAAATCTTATTCAGATGAAATGATTAATCTTCATTTGAAAAACTATCGATAACGTTTTATACAGTAACTTGTAGTATATCGAACTATCGACACTATAATATAAAGGGGATCAATATTTCCTTAGAGACAGCAGAGAACAATTTCAAATATCATAATAACCAAAAATTATATAGCAGCTGATAATGTGCTAACAATAGAATGTTTTCAACTGTCAAATTTCTTTTCAGTTCAGACTTTATGCATAAGATAGACCCTAATGAGGTATGAAAAACTTCAAAACATTAAATCCTCTTAGGCTTTCTGTTCAGAATTACAGGCATTTTATTGAAATTTTAGCCTGGGGTATGGTATATATGAACAAACCGAATGATGGTATGCCGATCTGAGATTTTGATCACAGACAGATCTATTTATGAGTAGAATATTCTAAAAATTTCAGCTCAAAAGAACATATCATTTCCGAGATATTAAAGTCCCAAAAATGACTGATATATTACAAAAAGATGCTAGGATTTCCTGTTTTTTTTTTGGGACTTTAATATCTTGGGAAGGATATGTTCTTTTGAGTTGAATTTTTCAGGGTATTCTACTTATAAATAGATCTGTCTGTAAGCAAAATCTCAGATCGGAATACTGTCATTCAGTTTGTTCGTATATACCATGTCCTAGGCTAAAATTTCAATAAAATGCCTGTAACTCTGAACAGAAAGCCTAAAGGGATTTAATGTCTTGGGGTTTTTCATATCTCACTAAGGTCTACCTTAAACATAAAGTCCGAACTCAAAAGGGATTTAACAATTGAAAACCTTCTCTCGTAAGATTTTTGTGGATTTAAAGAAAACTTTTATGAAAATTATTAGATATACATGAAACGAAATTTAATATAGGTTTTTTTAGAGACATACTGAATACTAAGATTTAGTCATATCATTCACAATTGATACAATATCTCTCAACTAGTCTAGGGTTACTTCAATTGTTAAAACATGATCAAAAAAGTAATTATTATTCGATGCATCAAAAGTTATTCTACAAAACGCTACAGATGTCTATTTAAATGAAGAATAATCATCTTATATCGATAGAGTTGTTCGAAAAGAAAAAAATATAACGTTTATTTCTTTACCAGGTCCTAATGGACAATCAGTTTTTAAATGTTCTTTTAATTTTTTTAATGCTGTAAATTGTGTTTTGCCTCGACATCGATGACATTGTACAAAACCTTCTGTACGTAAACGTCCATTAATTTCTTGTTCTTGTTCAGGTAATAATGTATCCGTTGCAAATTCAATATGCTTTTAAAAAACAAAAAAGCAAAAATCAAAATAATCTTTTTTTGCATTTCGTAAATTTTACTTCTCTCATTCTTGAACGTGCTAATTCAGCTAATTCACTACTTATATCAACACCACGTGGTGAACGTATTCCAGATGGTTTATGTAGATCATTCTAAATTTCGAATATATATTCAAAAGTTTTTATCATAGATTTAATTAGAATTAATCTCGAAACTTATCCAACCATAACTTATTATATACAAAAATAAATTACTTTTACAATTTGTTCATTGATCATAATTGGATTATTCATTGTTGGAGTTAATGCTAAACCGGTTGGATTCATATGTGATTGTTTTGTATAATTAGCTATAGGTGTTGGTCCATCAGATTTTGTTTTTGGTGGACGACCACGTTTACGCTAAACACAAAAAAAAAAATTTTATTCGAAATTAAATCTATTTTATATATACTTTTGGATCATTATCATTTTGTTCTGATTTAATTATTGGTAATGACATATGTTGATTAAGCATTGCTGATGGAATATTATAATTATCAATTGTACGTGGTGATACACCTGATGTCATAGCAACCATAGTATTCATCATTTGTGGTGGTGTTATATCATTAGAAGTTTTCTTTTTTTTTTTAGATTTTTTTGAATTTGGCGTTTCACCAAGTGTTGGTAAAGCTGGTTTACGTGATACATCAATTTTATCTGTTGATACAGCACTACCATCTTCTGTACCCTTAAAATAAATAAAAAATAATTATTTATTTATTTATTTATTTTTGTTCTGTTTTATATTTACATGTCGAGCTAAATGTGTTCGTAATGAACTACGATCAGCTAATTCACTTCCACACATTAAACAACGAAAAAATGCTTTTGGATATGGTGATTTAGTACATGAATTATATAAATGATAACGTATGCCTTCTTTTGAAGCAAAATCAACTGTACAAAATGGACAAACAAAACGTCCATCACGAAATGTAGCTTGTCGTATAACATTAAAATGTGGTAAATCAGGATAAGAAAAAAGACCTGATTGATGTCTTGTATGTGACCATGCTTGTGGTATAGGTATAAGTGTTAACATATCACGATGAATTTCAGCAATATCATGTTGATTTTTACCTAATGATTGCTGTTGTTGTTGTTGTTGTTGATCTTGTGTTTGTGATTGTTCAATATCATTTGATGTTAATTGTACATCAGTATCCATAACATCGATTGGTACAGATGATGATGATGTTGTTGTTGTTGTTACAGTAACAAGAGGTAATTGTTCTGATTGTAAATTTTGATTTGTTGTTTGTTCTTGTTGTTGTTGTTCATTAGTTGTTTGATCATTTGTTGAAATAATACCAACTGATTCATCATTTGGATTATTATCGACTGTTGTACTACCACCTGTTGCAATTAAATGCATTAAACCACTTGAATCAATTGCATTTTGTTGATGATGATCATCAACAGTTGACCTAAAAAAAAAAAAAGATATCGATAGAATTAAATTTTTATTTTGTTTTATTTTATTTACCATGGCCAATCATTTGTTGTTGATTCTTGTTGTTGATTTGATGATGTTTGTTGAACATCATCAACTGAAGACATATCATTTGAAGGCGAATCTGGATCAGCCATATATATGTATGATTAATTTTACAACATTTGTTTTTTATTATATTCCTAATAAATGTTGGCATAATGATAAATATAATTGTTTTAAAAAGATTATCAATTCTAATAAGGGATCATATGAAATCATTTTCTTTTTTTCTTTTTTCTTTTTTTTATTGTTATTGTTTTTTCTTGTCGCATGATTTTTCCGAAAATTCAGAACAACAGAGAAACAAAAAGAGAGAGAGAGAGGTAGAACAGGAGAGAGAGAGAGAAAGAGACACACACAGAGAAATAAATGCAGAGAGAGAGAGAGAGAGAAGAAGAAGAAGAAAAAGACCCACATTTCGCATTTTCGCCCTTACTTTTTTCTTCTCGTCGCTTTGCTTGTCTGTCCCTCTTTTTCACTCTCGCACAGATGTTAAATATCCTTTTTCTGCTTTATTGATGACAGTCATCATAACTATTTAGTATATACTTCTTCGTTCTTCTTTGCGGAGGAAGGCGACTAGAGGGAGCAAAAATGAGTTGGAAAAGAATCAATACGAGCGAATAAAAAAAAAAAAAAAAAAAAAAAAAAAAAAAAAAAATCTCCTTGGCTAGTGACTATAAAACAGCGAATAAATCGACGAAAAGCTAAAGAAGAAGAAGAAAAAAAATAGCATGAAGAAAGAGAAAAAAGAGAGGCGCGTAAAAGGTTATTGTTTTACCATTTACGTTGTATATTATACTCTTTATTATATAAATGAAAATATTTTTTAGACAGAAAATTAATTTTTAGTTTGTAGTTAATTAAGAATAGATTATTAGTATATGAAAAATATGTTAGAATATTATGATTATAGTGCATAAGTGCGTAACCATTTAATTGGTGTAAATTAAACGAATGATAGATTATATGTCAGGTGGAATGAGTCATAAGTTAACTAGGTACAATTGAATTTTTACTACATAATTCAATATGAATTTGTTAAAAAAACAAAGAAACAAAAAAAAAAAGTAATTTCATAGATGCCATCATTCGACTGAGAGAAGAAGTTTATTGAAAATTTATATCTGAGGTAATCAATAGGTATTGTCGGATCGAATATTTTCATAAAAAGTTTCGAAGAAGTTTTATCGAAATACAGTAAAAGTGAAGGTTTCAATGTTTATTCATTATATTATAGTTTTAGTAACATATTCTAGATTCATAATCAATCAATTACTACATCTACATGGAAATTGTGTCAAATAAGAAAACTACTTTTTTGAAACGAGTTTTAACTGATTAGATAGACACTACTAAAATCAAATAAAGACTAATCACAGATTATTTTTTCGCAAACGAAATTTATACAAACAAAATTCTCAATTGAACTGCGTAGTTTATTATAAAAGATTAAGTTTTCTAGTATTCTTTTTTGTTCTGCAATTCTCATGTTGTTGCATAAAAGATTAAAAAAGATTGATCATTGAGAGTTTCAATAAGAATTTTATTTATGTTAAATCTAAATATAAAAAGTTACGTTTGAAATTGATCCTGAAAACAAAATATATAAACATTTTGTTGTAAAACTCATTCAATCAGTCATAACTACAGATGTACGGGGATCAAACTTTATGATCGTCATTCAGCTCTCAATACTCGTTTTATTTTTGATTTATTTAGTTGATGATTAGAACTTTTTTCGATTATTTCTGTTGAATTATGAACCAATTCATAGTTTATAAGACAATACACTTTAAACTAAAGAATATTTAACTATATATCTTTAGTTTTGATCGGGACAACTATTTTCTCAGTCGTCTTTATTTTGGTCAACTTTCAAATTTTGATCCTACACATCTTAAATTATAACTTTAGAACACAAATTTTTCTCAGCATTTGTTTAATTTCAATAAAATCTCTAATAAAGTAAGACTTATTTTAAAGAATAATTTATTCTTTTTTTGAAATTTTCTTATTAAATTTTGAATAAAACAAACAAACAAATAAATAAATTAAATTTTTGTTTTTTTTTTTCAGAAAAAAATTGAAAACAAAAAAAATGCGTGTTCCTTATACTTCATCGGCATCACAGATAAATATTTTTCTTCAAAATCTAAATGAATATCTTGATTCTGGTATATATTGTGATTTAACATTTATAATTGGTTGTGAAAAATTTTTATGTCATCGTATAATTCTTGCTAGTTCATCACCTTATTTTCAAGCATTACTTACACATAAATTTAAAGAAAATAATCTTAATTCAATTGAATTACGTGATATTGAACCACAAATATTTTCTTTACTTCTTCATTATATATATAGTGGTAAAATTGAAATTGATAATAATAATGTTCAAAATATATTAATAGCAAGTGATATGTTACAACTTGATGAAGTTGTTCAATTTTGTTGTCATTATTTATCAATAAGTTTAAATGAAAATAATGTTATTGATACATGGAAAATAGCTAATGAATTAGAATGTATATCATTAAAAGATAATGCTGAACATTATATATTAACAAATTTTTGTAATTTAATTAAATTTGATATGATTAAATTTATTCCAAAAAATTTATTAATAAAAATAATATCAAATGATGATTTAATTATTGATAATGAAGAACAAGTTCTTGAAGCTATATTAATATGGTATATTAATAATCATGAACAAACATTTGAACATTTATTTGATAATGTTAGATTTGAATATATTTCAAAAGAACATCAAAAAATGATTTTACATCAAATTGGATTTGTATGTATTAATAAATTTTGAACAAGAGAGAAAAAGTGAAGATGCCGTATTTTAATGTACTTCTAGACTGTGCATCAGATCTGTTTAGCTATTTCAAGTCTCCTATCGATCTGTGTTACAGTATATTAGCCGGAGTTCAGCCTACGTAAGTCTATTTGACAATAAAGCAGAAATACTTCATCGTACTCGCATTTTGGAAGTACAGTGAAGTATTTGGGCTTTTGAGAATGACGGTGACTTACGTAAGCTGAACTCCGGCTAATATACCGTAACACAGGTCGATAGTAGACTTGAAATAGCTAAACAGATTTGACGCACAGTTATGGCTAAGTCTGAACGTATAGGAAGTACGCTGAAGCACAACATTTTCGCTTTTTCCACCTTGATTTTGAAAGATATTTGATAAAAGAAAAAATAACGAATGATCTCAAAGTTCTATATTCATTTTTTTTTGTTCGATTAAGCGTGACAGCAAGAATTTGTAATGAAGATATTAGAAAGAATGAAGTCTCCTGTATAAAGTTATGTAAAAAAATATTTCGTTCGAAATACTTACTCAAGACTGAAAAGTTCTGTACATGCTTCTGAAGTGTAGAAGAAAACTTTCATCGACTAAGAAAGTTAATCTTGTTTTCCGTCTTTTATAGCAATAAAAATAAAATTTTCAAACTAAACACTTGCGTTCGAAATTAATATTTTTGCTAGTGAAAAGTGTTCATGACAAAGAAATTATTTCGAAAAATAAGATTTTATTTTTTCTAGTAATCGAAATTAGTATGTGTCTATACACATCGATAAGAATAGAGGCAGCGGCCTTCCATCGGACGGTTTTTTCGGTTCTTACTGCGGTTTTAACTGGTATGTATTGGCGTATAAATGATCTGACTTTCGCGGTTTATTAAAACTGAGATATTTTTCGAAAATTTTTTTTTTCTTTTTTGTGAACGACTTTTTATATCCGGAAGTGCTATTTCGAAAAACAGAGCAAAATTTGTTCGAACAGATCAGTTCAGAATACAATTTTTCTATTTGGACATTATGAGGAAAAACTTGATTAAGCATTGTAGAGTAAACTTCGCGTTGGTTATATTCATGCATAATGAGTTTCAGCTGAATACAAGACAAATCGAACAAATGCACGTCTAATCAATGATTTTCTTTGAAATTGCAAGGCAGTTTTTAACCTTCAACAAGTATTTTAAACAAAATATGTTTACGGAGCTTTCTGATAAAGACTTTGCTTTTTTTGTAATAGGAAAACTATCAAGTCTGTATGATGATTTATTATCACGCTATATTGAAAACAAAATTAATATAAAACTTATCGATCATTCGTTACGTAGTATACAATAGAAAGAAAACGTTTTTTTTTGTAATCAATCTCCTTAGAGAAGTAGTCTTCTACAGGAATGTCCTAAAAGTTTGCTGTAATAGAAGTTTCGAACAGCTCTTATAAGCAAGCAATGCCAATATGACAAATAAAATTGAAGTATATCTTTGATACAAACTTCACTTGGTTTCTCTTTCTGAAAGTTAATTTACAATTTTCATTTTTACAAATTGTTAATAATTGAATATCTGTCATGAAAAAAAGTTGTTTCTTCTATAATCGTTATATGAGTGCAGAAGTTTTAAGAAATCTCAAATAAACACTATAGAAAACTCGTGCAAGTCATTTGAACTGTATAACAGATCTTTATTTGTTTTTGTTACGGCACATTTTTGGATCACTCGGTATTAGAAACTATCGAGTTCAAAGTTTTTCGAACTTTTCATCGATTATTTCTATTCAGTTACTACATATCCTATACTTTTCTCAGACGATTCTTGAATAAACCCAACGAATTCTGTCGGTATGTCCTATATAATAGTGTGTTAATGAATGTATATTACAGTATTTATTAACTAGAGAAAGTATATGTTGTTGAATGATAATTCCCAAAAATATAGAAATACGACTTTCGTATTGTGCTTCTCAAAATCTGAAATAGATAACAGTCGTGAATGAAAACATAAGTAACAATGTATAAACATTAGAAATATAAAGGATCAATTAACTTTTCTTCACCCTGACATTATCATATTCAATCCTGTACTGTTCTAATGAACATCATGGTTGATTGGAAAAATGTTAAAAAGCATATTTTTATGTCTTGACGCCGTTACTTATTCAGAAACGAGAATGTTCACACTCTCATTTCAGAATACTTATTTGAGTTCATTTCATCAAACATGATCTGCAAGAAGTATCCAGGGTATAAATTCACATACTATCAGCAATTACTATGGAAACGTCATGGAACATGACAGACGCGATTAACAGATCGAAACAGAAGTCTTTAGCAATTCCCACTTCTTCTTTTCATCACAGACCATAACAAATGTTTTTGATATATAATCATAGACGGGAACAAATGTTATTGGTATACAATCAAATAATATATATATGAACAATTTCTTTATTGCATTTCTAAACAATTAAATAACAAAGAAATGTATCCAGAAATAAATAGAACGACACGATCTCTTAGTGATGAGCAATGACAGTTACATCTTATTTTACATTAATATTCTCCAGAGATTTAGTTAACAGAGTAATTGTTTATTGGAATCCTATCTACATAATTTATTATTCTTTAGCAAAATCCATCAATAATTCATCGCATTGAACAAATTATATCCCATCGAGAATGTCAAATAAATAATAATCCAGCGCGACGTGGTATGAAACAAACATGTTATTTATTTGGTGGTTATGGTTTAAATATAAATGAAACAAATTCTCATTTATTAACAACATCATATCGTTGTCATTTAAATATAAATGATTCATCATCATCATTATATTCAATTGATATTGAACCAATATCAGGTAATGAAATGCGTTATCCACGTATGCATCATCAAGTAGCAACACTTGGTAGTTTAATTTATATTGTTGGTGGTGAAGATGGTGATAATATATTTAATTCAGTTGAAATATTTGATCCATTATCAAAAATAAATAATCAACAATATATACAAGGTACATCAATGATAACACCACGATGTAATTTTGGTTTAGTATCATTAGATTCAACAACATTATATGCATTAGGTGGTCATATTGGAGCTGATATAACATCAACAATTGAAATGTTTAATTGTCAAACAAATCAATGGACATTATTACCATATAAATTAAAATCTCCATGTTATGGTTTTGCTTGTGTACAATTAAATGGTTTAATATTATGTATAGGTGGTTCATGTATATTTAATTTACCAGTTAAAACAACTGAAATATTTAATCCACGTACAGGACAAAGTTATTTATGTACAGATATGAATGAAGCACGTACATATTGTTCAACATGTATTGATGATGAACAAGAAAAAATATATGTTTTTGGTGGTGCTGATGCAAATGGAAATGGTTTACGTTCAGTTGAAGTTTATAATTCATTTGATTGTCGTTGGTATAAATTACCATCAATGTTTTTTAATCGTATAAGTCCATGTGTATATCGTATTGGATATTATATATTTGTTTTTGGTGGTCGAACAAATTTAGGACAAAATTCTGAAATACTTAATACAGCTGAAATATTTCATATTGAAAAAAAAATATGGATAAGAACAAATGATGTACCAATACATATCTATGGTGCAGCAACTGTTCTTCGATAAATTTTTGATTTTTATTGTTTTCTTTTTTAGTGTTCTTTTCTTTTAATGTATAGTGTAAATTATGATAAGAAAAAAAAAAAACAAAAAAGAAAAGTTCTATATATTTTTTGTTTCTATGATTGTTAATTATGAAAACAATATGATTGTTATTATCAGTACATTGAAACAATATTTCGTTAATTTTCTATAAGACATTTGTCCTTGTTTTCCACAATTTGACATCCTTTTTTTTTTGTTTATTGATATTATAAAGACAAGAATTATAAGAAAGAAAAAGAAGGAGAAAAAGACGGAAATAGGATAAAAATTGTGTTCTCCTCGTATATGGTCTGGAATGCGCTACTAGAAGAAAAGGATTGATCATTTAATAGAAAGATTTTTCTTTAGAATAATGACGATATTGTCGTCGATAGACGAAAGGAAGAACAGCAAGAAAAACAAAAAAAAAAAAGAAAAAGAAAAAGCAGAATCTCATTTTTGTTTGACTTTGCACAGCGTAGGAAGAAAACATCTATCTCATGTATCGTCATGGCAAATGGTTATTTGTTGCTGACATGTTGTCGACATAGTACCTCATATGAGGCATTCATAAAAATAGCAAGCAATGTGACCGTATGTCGTTACACTACATGTTTATATAAACAATAGTCTATAATTTTCCAAGTATATATATATATATATATTCATCATTTATATTTGGTTTCTTGCATGAATTTTCAATTATTTATTTTTAAATGAAATAAAATTTTCTCAATAACTGTGTCTATAGATTTCAATAATATTCTATTTTTTTCAACAAACAATATTTAAATATTATTCTCATGTCGTATTGTAAATATTCGATATGACAAGTAATCAAGATATTCAATCAGTTGAAAATTTTCAAAGTAATGGTCTTATAGATCATCATTCAAATAAAACAAATGATAATGTAGTAACAACATCATTGGATTCACCAGTACGTCATTCACGTTTTTTTCGTACAAAACGAAAACAACGTTTAGATGAAAATCAACCGAATATTAATGGTATTATTTTTACCAGATAATTTTCGATATCTATATATTATACTATGTATTTAGGAGAAACTAAAGATGAAATTTCAACATACGATATAACAAAATCTATTGAAAAACTTAAAACAAGATCTTCATCACCACCACCACCACCACTACCATCTCCATCATTAATTATTAATGAATCAGATGATAATGATGAAAATAATTCTTCAATAGACCTTAGTAATATTCCAAAAATAGTTATAACCGAAGCAAGACAATCTATAACAACTGTCAATATTGGTTATCAACTAAAGAAATCTCATTCAGTTAAACTAACACGTGCCAATGAAAATGATTCATGTACAAAAAAAGCTGTTCGTTTTGCTGATGATTTTGGTTTAGATTTGAGTCAAATTAAAGTGATTCAACCAGATGAATTACCATCTGTACCTAGTACAGCATTTAAACATTTAAGTATTACAAATGATGAACATAATTCTTTAATAATAAATCCACCACGTGAAAAATTAATTACATATATGGAACAACAATTTGAAAATCCTATACATACATCAAATTTTAATGATCGTGTATCACGAAATAAAATTCTTCTTGAACAAGCTAGTAAGTTTATTAAAATAATATTTATTTTTTTTTACATATTTTTAGATAATTATATATATATATATTTAAGATGCTATTGATAATCGAATATATGGAACAATTAAATTAGTTTCATTTAATTTACATAAACATGTTCGAGTACGTTTAACAACTGATAATTGGATATCATTTAAAGATTATGATGCAATATATATGATGAATTCACATGATGGTATTTATGATCGATTTTCATTTATGATTGAAATTGATCGTAATAGAATATGTGCTGGAAATAATATACAATTTTCTATTTGTTATGATTCATTTGTTAATCAAGAATATTGGGATAATAATTATCAACAAAATTATCGTTTTGATTGTTATTCAAGATCAATACCTGATTATAGTATTTAGATAAACAATAGAAATTTAATATAAATACGAATCATATATAAAAAATTTCTCTATTTATTTATTTCGACTTTTTGTTTTTGGAAATTTTTCTGTCCGATCTATCATCCTTTCATTAGTTGTTCGTTTTTGTTTTATAACCATATGATTATTTATCACATGTATATATTTTTTTATCCTTAATATTATATTTAGAATATTTTATTTTTGTTTTTGTATATCAAATATACAACGAAAACAAAAAACCTAAGTAGACAGTAAACAAAAAAAAGTTTATTTTAACTGTTGAATACGTTCAATTAATGTATCACATAATGTTTGATTACGATGTTTATGTTTAACATTACGAATTTCATTAATAAATGTTTCAGATGCATTTTCAAGTTGAGTTGCAAATTGAATAATTGTATCTAAAAATATTTGAAAAAAAAAAAAAAAATTTTTTTTCTTCTATCTGAACAAAAGAAAATTTTTTGTTTATTTTACCAAAAACAACATTTTGAATTTGACTATTTTGATCATCCATATGTATTAATAAAATTTTTGCTATATCTTCAAGATGTGATCGATAAAGTTCAATATTAAAATTTCTATGAAATGATTGTACATATGCATTTAATGTTGAACATATAATAAGACGTATATCATCAGATATATCATCTAAACGTTTTAATAAATCTGGATATACTTTATGTAATTGATCATTATCAATTGTACGAATAGCATCATCATTTGAAAAAAGTGCTTGTAAAACATAACAACTATTCATACGTGTTAAACGATCATCATCATCTAACATTCCTAATACAGCAAGAAGAATTTCTTTCATTGATGATGCACACTAAATGAAAAAAAAAAAATTTATATTTAAAAAGATATAAAATTTTCGAATTTATTTTCTTTGAAATTAAGAATATTAACATCAAGTTGATATTGACTGTCAAACGTATGAATATCATCTTTTCATCATAATAGAAGGTTAGCTAGTTACTAAAGCTATTCAATGAATTAAGATATATAAATATAGAATATCTTAGATATTTCTGACCTTGTTCATAAATACTATTCGACCATGTATATGTCATAGTTGACATAAGAATTCAAGTCAATTGAGTCTTATGTGAATTAATTCTCTTTAAAAAAACAAAAATTTATGATAGAAATTAAGATAAACTAATTGGTTTGGACTAGAGTTTACAAAATAAAATCACATTAAATTTCATAATTAAATGTTTTTTCTGAATTTTGTCTTGTTGCTATCAATAAATTTTATTCAAAATTTAATAAGAATAATTATGCGTTATATACCATTGATTATAGTATTTAGACAAAAAATTTAACTTTTAATTTCATGAATGCTTACAACCAATTTATTATACTCGTGCTTTAGAAGAAAAAAAAATAGCATTTTTTCCAATGCTTTCATCAATTATTTAATATCCCAGAAACTAAAGCACATCTTTATCATCAAATATATCTCAAAATAATTTTATATTCTATCAAGTTAGAATCGGAATAATAATCACGAGAACGTTAAACATCATAAAGTTAAGCATTAAGATGATATATGACATTTCTTTAAAGATCAATAAATGTTCATGAAATGTACCGATGTTAATCTTCTCTTCATTTCTATTCACAACCAGACCCTTACTTTGTTCTTTTTTGTGCGTGCTGAATGTTCTCGTGCTCATCACTCACCATTCTCCGACGGATATGAATGTAGGTATTAGTCTGCTTCTTGTTCTGATCTATATTCACACTGAAATTGGTAATTATTTTCAATTAAATATGACTGTCATTCATTATCTTATCTATCTAAAATCTATTATTGCGTTTTATCCATCAAAAAAACAAAAAAAAATTCTATTTAAAATTTAAGATTTCTTCAATGAAAAAAAATTCTTCTATTTTCTCACTTGTTCAAAACTGAATGATTTAGCTTGAAATAATGACCAAAGTGTAGCAATAGCTGTTGCTCGAATAGCAGCTGCTGTTCGACCTGCTTTCCATTGCATATTTGGTAATATACATTCATCAATTAATATTTTTAAATACGGACTAATTATTAGTTTTGTATCTGTATCATCAATAAATTGAAGTAAATTTGCAATAATTAATAAACATTGATTTCGTATTTCAGGATCACGATCCGATTTCATTACCATACGTAAAATTTCAATAATATCTTTAAGAAAAAATCGATTTGATGATCCTGAAAAAAAAAAAACAATAAAATTAGATTTTCCTTTTTCATGAATAAAAACAGTGGCAAAAAGTTTAGAAACAAAGTATTTTTGGAATTTTCCTTTAACAAAACCAAATAGAGCAAAGTTTTGATTCATTGAAAAATTTCCGTATCAGCGCAGGTACATGTCGCATGTCAGTTAACAGCTTTGGGTGAAAGGTTTCTGGATTCTATCAAAAAACGTCTTTCAGACATATTCCCTTGACAGAGAAAATATCTTGATATCCATGGTTTAACTTTAGTGAACGACAATTATTGTGTGATAGTCTCCGATGGTTGTTTTACACTCGGGAATCTTTTATAGAATGAATATAGTTGACTGATAAATTCAGAAAACTAGTTTTCTAGAGACGTTTTTTATTCATCCCAGCTAGTCAAATTTTTCCTATGCTTGGTTCTAGCTATTTTCATTAAGGACAAATGTTACTAATTAATTTTTTTTTTCGTAAATGTATGTGTATATTGTACCTGCTTGCATAATAAATGTTTCAAATATAAAACGATCTCGAGTACTTCTTAACCAATCATTTGATGTTTGTTTAAGATCATCAAATAATTGTGAAGCAAATTTTTCATACATTACATTTAAAGAACTATTTTCAAATGTATTTAATGCTAAATCATTTAATGTTTGTTTACACTAGACGAAAAAACAAAAAAAAAAACGAATTTCAATAAATAACAAAAAAAAAAAAACAGATTGATTATTTTATACTTGTTGTTTTAATTCATCATTTTCAGCAATTGATAAAAGACTTAAAATACATTTAAATATTCGATATGCATATGGTTCTAATTGATGTTGACATTTTTCAATTAAAAGTCGACAAATACGTAAAAGTTCATTTTGTATTGGTAACTAAAAAAAGAAAAGAACAATTAATCATTGAATTTATCTAAAAGATTTAAAAATAATTATTTACTTGTAAATTATCAGTATATTCTGTTTTAAGAATAATTGTAAGTAATTGATCAAATATTTTTTCTGATTGTATCAATTCATCACAAGTAACACCTATTAAAAGTGGTGCAATTAAACGAAGTAAACCTAAAGTTGGTGTTTGTTCCAAATGTGATCGAATTAAATTAAACCAAATATTAATTGATACAAAATAACCAATATTAATTAATGTTTTATTAATCTATAACACAAAATAAAAAAAAGAAAAATATTAGTTTTGTTTAAATGAATGAAAATTTTCTTTATTTTGCTTGTTTTTTTACTTGTTCACGAACAATCGATTCATCATCAACAAGTGCTTTTGAACAAACTTGAAGTGTATCTTCTAAATGTTGAGTTATAGTTTCTTCAGCTTGCCAACTTAGAATAGTAAGTAATTGAGAAGCTTTTATACGTCCTGATACAACCCAATCAGTTAGATCATTACGAATAGCAGGAAGAATTCGTATTAAATTTCTTTTAACTAATTCACGACAACCAAGATTTGGTCGAGTTACTAGAAAAAAAAGAAAATATTTCCTTTGATGATTATTATCAGATTCTACAGCTAATATTGTACACGAATGGACACATTTGAATAATAGAGATTTATCATTAAAAAAAAACTTTTAGAAAGTTCTGTGTATTTGATAGAAGATCGAAATTTTAAACGTAGTCGGGTCAAAGTTTACTTCATTCATCGTCATAAAAAGCCTTATTCCTATGAACAGTTGGTATTAGAATGTGCCAGGTTAGTCATGAGATACAAAGAAAAGTAAAAAGAAAAACTGTGTTGTATCTTTCGGACGATTATACAGGTTTGATTAGAAAATTTTTCATATTGCTCGGCATATTGTATTCGAAAAATGGTATCGTATGTCAATGGTGGAAAAGTACTACATGTGTTTCGTAGTTGAAATTCTTTAATTGAACCCAATAATAGTTCGATCAAAGCTTAGATTATCGAAAAAAACGACTTGGAAAATCACAATAATAAGAAAGTGCTAAGATGAATATGTATTCGTACTTGATAGACTAAGTTATCTTGCTGAAAACTACAAAACCCATCCACTATTCATTAGAAAAAAGTTTTTTTTTTATGGGAATTAGTGAGGAAAATTCGATTTCGATTCGGACCAAAATTTATGTAATCCTATTCGTTATCAATATATCTGAGTTTTTCAAATAATGAGATGATTAAATAGAAATTAATTAATTAATCATAAGAAGACCATCTTGAATCCATGCGAATCCTAATCGATAAATATAACACATACAAAGTTATTACTAGTTTCTTATAGACATGTGAAGACTTCATATATTTATAAGAAATCGCTAAGAATAATGTATGATTAACTGATGTTTTTAATGTACTGTACTGACTCTCCTCGAGACACATCTAAAAGGACAAAGCTCGATTAAATATTATGAATGTATACGATAACAATGAATCTTACTGAAATCCAAGCGAATACAAGGTAGTCAATAAGTGTTCACAGGTACTTCGAAATCGTCAACTCACATAAATAATAATTGGGCGTAACTTGTAGATCTAATCAACATATCTCAAACATGAACAATTTCGTCTAATATGCGTACTTCTAATAGTAAGATAAAACTGGTTCGGATCGACGAGAACTACAAGCAGTCAGATCAGATTTTGTATTACGTTCGGTGCATCAATCAACTAGTGTTAGATGTATCACTAATTGATAGGATTTAAATTTTTACAGAATCCACTATAATAGTAATTGAAACCAATACATATAAATTTGCATGATGTTCATTATCAACTAATAGCAAAACAGTATTTAA